GCAAAAAAACTTCAGGACCAGACTGCAAAAAGAAACTGCTGAGCTCCAGTTCATTTGCAAATTTGACACCATCAGATCAGGATTAAACAAAGACTGTGAATGGCTATCCAACTACAGAAGCAGTTTCTCCTCCCTTAGTGTTCACACCTCAACTGCTAGCACAGCACCTCACCCTCCCTGATTGAACTAACCTCATTATCTCCATACTGATTTATACCTGCCTCTGGAGATTTCCATTACTTGCATCTGAAGAAGTGAGGTTCTTACCCACGAAAGCTTATGCTCCCAATACTTCTGCTAGTCTTAAAGGTGCCACAGGACCCTCTGTTGCTTTTTACAGATTCAGACTAACACGGCTACCCCTCTGATACTTGATACCTGTAGAAAGCATTCTTGTTACCCTTCACTTCCCTTGCTAGGTGCAACTCCAATTGTGCCTTGGTCTTCCTGATTACACCCCTGCATGCTCTAGCAATATTTTTATACTCCTCCCTAGTCATCTGTCCAAATTTCCACTTCTTGTAAGCATCCTTTTTGAGTTTAAGCTCACCGAAGATTTAATTGTCTTCTGGTCACCTGCCATATTTGCTATTCTTTCCGCGCATCGGGATGGTTTGTTCCTGCACCCTCAATAAGGCTTCTTTAAAATACAGCCAGCTCTCCTGGACTCCTTTCCCCCTCTTCTGCTCCAGGGACCCACGTCCAGGGCCGGCTCCAGGTTTTTTGCCGCCCCAAGCAAAAAAAAAAGGGGGCAGAGTGCTGCTGCCAGAGCAAAAAAACAAAACAAAAACGACTGCCACCCCTTGAAAAGTGCCGCACCAAGCACATGCTTGGAACGCTGGTGCCTAGAGCCGGCCCTGCCCACGTCACTCCCAGGACTGCAGTGTTGTCTTCACACTGTGAACTGTGTCACACTCTGTTTCCCCCACTTGGGCCCTCTCACAATTCTGGGTCCTGGTCCAGGGACTCTGAAGATGGCCTCCACTTGCTCTGTCCCCTCCGACTCCTCTGTAGATCTTCCTGGGCCATTTCCCCAGTACCTTCTTTGCCCTTGCCTCAGGGCCTCAGCCTGCAGATCCCTACAGGCGGCCAGGAACTGTCTTTATCTCCCTGGGTCTCTGCCTGCAGCACTGCTCTGTCCAGGGTGCTTGCTGCCCTCCACCTGCAAGGCAGCCAGTCCACCTCCCTCCTCAAGCTCCAGTGAGTGACTGAAATTTATATGGGCTCTTCTTATATGGGCCAGCCCAGCTCTGATTGGCTGCTCCTATAAGCCCTTCTGTGATTGGCTGCCTCTTGCGCAGCCTCCCTAGGGCTCTATTAACCCTTGAGATTCCCAGTGTGGGGCAGGTGCTCCATCACACTCCCATAATACCTGAGTGCCACAGACTCTTTGCTGTGCTTACCCTTGCGACATCATGTGAGGGAGGGAAGTCTCCCCAGTCTATTCCTGGGGAACTGAGGCCAGAGAGATTAAGTGACTTGTCCCAGGGCACACAGGGAGTCTGGGTGGGGGCATGGATCAGTGTTCACATCACGCTCCCTGTCAGTACCCAGCCCCAGCCGGGACAGCTAATGACCCAACCAGCGGGCCAAATTCGGTGATTAAGCCTGGTCACGTGCCACCTGAGCCATGTTGCTCATACACTAAGAAGTAGACAGGGAATTGAATCCAGCTTTCTTAATTATTATCTCTCGATTAATACCCTAACCACTGGGCCACCATATATTATTACTGGGGAAGCTGGCCATAGAGGCTCTTGGAGATCTCAAAGGGGCTGTTTGACACATGTGTGTGTCTAACTGGGGTTCTCCCTCTGTGTCCATTTGCCCCCAGGTGGGATGTTTGCCCCTCTGATCCTTCTAAGGAACCCTCTTTCTTCTAACCCAGGAATTCTCCCACAATAGTGCATGTAAAACATAGTAAAAGAACCAAAAAAGTGCCACCATGGCTAAACAACAAAGTAAAAGAAGCAGCGAGAGGCAAAAAGGGCATCATTTTAAAAGTGGAAGTTAAATGCTGTTGAGGAAAATAGAAAGGAGCATGAACTCTGGCAAATGAAGTGTAAACATGTAATTAGGAAGGCCAAAAAAGAATTTGACGAACAGCTAGCCAAAGACTCAAAAAATACCAGCAAAAATATTTTTTAAGTACATCAGAAGCAGGAAGTCTGCTAAACAACCAGTAGGGTCACTGGCCAATCAAGATGATACTCAAGGAAGATAAGACAATTGCGGAGAAACGAAATGAATTCTTTGCATTGGTTTGGAACAAACTGATAAATTAAACAGTAATAAGTCACCAGGACCAGATGGTATTCACCCAAGAGTTCTGAAGGAACTCAAATGTGAAATTGCAGAACTATTAACTGTGATATAAATAAATTAATGGAGATATCCCATCTCCTAGAACTGGAAGGGACCTTGAAAGGTCATTGAGTCCAGCCCCCTGCCTTCACTAGCAGGACCAAGTACTGATTTTTGCCCCAGATCCCTAAGTGGCCCCCTCAAGGATTAAACTCACAACCCTGGGTTTAGCAGGCCAATGCTCAAACCACTGAGCTATCCCTCCCCCCCTCTAATCTATCATTTAAATCAGCTTCTGTACCAGATGACTGGAGGATAGCTAATGTGACGCCAATTTTTAAAAAGGGCTCCAGAGGTGATCCTGGCAAATATAGGCCGGTAAGCCTGACTTCAGTACTGGGCAAACTGGTTGAAACTATAGTATAGTAAAGAAAAGAATTATCAGACACAGAGATGAACATGATTTGTTGGGGAAGAATAAACATGTTTTCTGTAAAGGGAAATCATGTCTCACCAATGTACTAGAATTCTTTGAGGGGGTCAACAAGCATGTGGACAAGGGTGATCCAGTGGATATAATGTACTTAGATTTTCAGAAAGCCTTTGACAAGGTCCCTCACCAAAGGCTCTTAAGCAAAATAAGCTGTCATGGGATAAGAGGGAAGGTGCTCTCATAGATCAGTAACTGGTTAAAAGATAGGAAACAAAGGGTAGGAATAAATGGTCAGTTTTCAGAATGGAGAGAGGTAAATAGTGGTGTCCCCCAGGGGTCTGTACTGGGACCAGTACTGTTCAACATATTCATAAGGATCTGGAAAAAGGGGTAAACAGTGAGATGGCAAAATTTGCAGATGATACAAAACTTCTCAAGATAGTTAAGTCCAAAGCAGACTGCAAAGAGTTACAAAGGGATCTCACAAAACTTAATTCTCTGAAAACATCCACGCAATGTGCTGCGGCAGTCAAAAAAAAAGCAAACAGAATGTTGGGAATCATTAAGAAAGAGGTAGATAACAAGACAGAAAATATCATATTGCCTCTATATAAATCCATGATATGCTCACATCTTGAATACTATGTGCAGGTCTGGTCACCCCAACTCAAAAAAGATATATTGGAATAGAAAAAGATACAGAAAAGGGCAATAAAAATGATTAGGGGTATGGAACGGCTTCTGTATGAGGAGAGATTAACAAGACTGGGACTTTTCAGCTTGGAAAAGATGACTAAGGGGCAGGGTGACCAGATGTCCTGTTTTTAAAGGGACAGTCCCATTTTTTGGGACTTTTTTTTATATAGGCGCCTATTACCCCTCACCCCCGTCCCGTTTTTTCATGATTGCTATCTGGTAACCCTACTAAGGGGGGTGGGGGTATGATAGAGGCCTATAAAATCATGACTGGTGTAGAGAAATTAAATAAGGAAGTGTTATTTACTCCTTCTCATAACACAAGAACTAGGGGTCACCAAATGAAATTATGGTGGGGCAGGTCTCTGGCCTGTGCTACACACAGGGCTGGCTCCAGCTTTTTTGCCGCCCCAAGCAGCGAAGCAACAAGAAAACATTTTAAAAAAAGCCGCGATTGGTGGCACTTCGGCGACAACTCTACCGCGCTGCTTCATTCTTTGTAGACAATTAGGAAGCGGGTCCTTCCCTCCGAGAGGGACTGAGGGAACCGCCGCCAAATTGCTGCCAAAGACACCTGCTTCCTTCGCTGGTGCCTGGAGCCGGCACCGGCTACACAGGAGGTCAGATTAGATGATCACAATGGGCCCTTCTGGCCTTGGAATCTCTGCATCTAAGTTACTTAGCTGCTCCACCGTTAGCCATAACTTGCCTGGGCAGGATGGAAGCTGCTCCCAGTTCCTCGCTGATGCTGTGGTCTGGGTTATATTTTTCTGCCAGCCCCCAGATCTGCGCACACGAAGCCCACGTGGGTCAGGATCCTGGGTCTATGGGAGGTCTTTTGGGAGTGGCAATGAGAAGAGCACAGTGTGGCCAATGCAGCTTTGAAGGTTGTATGTGAAATGATGGCCATATATTCCAGCCTATGGCATGGCGCTGGGTGTCTCTGGGCTGGGCATGAGCGGAAACCAGCCTCACTGGTGCTGCCTGAAGAGTTTGTCTTAAGGGAACATTGTTTTCCAAGGTGGTGTCTCTAAAGACACCTGCCAGTTACATAGAGCCACAGCTAACTCCAGCCCACCCACCCTGGGTACACCCACCTCCCTCTGAACCCAGCCATGCCCTTACCCCATTCACCCCATGTCCCACCCACCTCCCTTTGCAATCACCCCCAGCACTTAGTCACCCCAACACACCCCTCAGCTCCACCCACTTCCCTTTGTAACCACTCAGACTTGACCTACCTGTACCCAGCCCCTCCCCACTCCCCACCCAACACACCCTGTACCCCCCGACACACCCATGACTCCCACCTATAGCTCCAGCACCAGCCACCCTCATTTCCCAGCCCCCACCCCTCACTCACCTGGGGCTGCACATGGCCCCCTTGTGTCCCATAGAGAGGCTGCCGGGGTGCTGGGGTCCAGTCCTGCCCCAGCACCTTGCAGGATTTGTCCCAGGTCAGGATCGCTCCCAATCACAGCTGGACCTGGCCACACTCAGATCAGTTTATAAATTCCATTTTTATTTGGATTGAACATAAAAAAAAAAAGGAAACCCAAACCCACACTGGTCTGATGCTACATCCAGGCTGTAGAGGTGTGAGTGCATGTGGTGGTCAGGGACGGACACGGGGAGGGAGCACACAGAGGTGACATGGGACGAGAGGGCTGTGTCAGGAAGGCAGTTCAGAAGTGGCTCTCCAGACAGGACACAGAGGGGCTGAGAGCTGAGGCAGCCCCCCTCTTAAAGAGGGGTGGTAATGTGATCAAGGACAGACTATGGCCAGCTACATTCCGCAATGGATGACTATCTTTGGGGCCCAGAGGGTTACTGGGCTAATAACCCAGCTGTTATACAGCACTTTTAATCAGGGGAAGCATCATTATCTCCATTTTACAGCTGGGGAAACTGAGGCACAGAGACTTACTTAAGTTCACCCAGTAGGCCAGTGACATAGCTGGGAATAGAACCCAAGTCCCAGTCCACTGGTCTGTCCACTAGGCCACACTGGAAGATGGGGGCAATTGGGCATAGTCTATAGGACAGTCCCAGAGGGGGCTGAACAGGCCAAAAGCAGATGAGTCACGCATAGTGTGAACTCCCTCAGCGAGCCTGGATGCCCCTTTCTGATAGGGAGCTTTATTCACACCCTGGCACGAGCAGCTAGGGAATGTCTCACATGTGGATTTTCTGGTGGCAATGGGGCCTGAGTTGCAGTACAGACTGAGTGTAAAACCTGACGATTCCTGCAGCCTGTCTTTGCCAATGCCCCCACACCCAGGGCCATATACAACAGGCTTCCTGATGACAACAGCACACAGCTGGGGTGAAAAGTGTGTGGTTTCTGGGACATGTGGAGATGGTTATGGGGAGATGGTGCTACAGCTAGTGGTGGAATCCAGCCCTTGTTATTGAGGTCCATGCAATGCCCAAATCTCAAATAGAAAATCTCGATGAGTGTGTATTGCTTACGGGATGATTTGGTTTATCATAAATATAGAGATATAGAATATATTATATATCTGATAGGCCTCTAATCTCCGGTTATAAAAGCACACGCTATTGCATCACTCAGACTGAGGGGGGGACTCCATGCACGGTACATGCACTTTTGTTTTAATCTAAATGTTCCGCAAACAGCCATGCGAGTCCAGGTGACCTCTCTTGCCCCGAGGCGAGTGGGAGCCGCCCCAGGGGAACCCATGCGCTCAGCAGACACGATGGCCCCATCTCCTGGAAGGGCGCTCCCAGCGGAGGAGGGGAAGGGCGGATGTGGGTGAGGAGTTGGTGGGTGTGCACAGGACACGTTCCATGGAGGAATAATTTGCTTTTTTCCTCCCCTCTTTGTGTATATATTCTATAATATATATATATATATATATATATATATTTATATATGTCTGTCTTTGTTCTTCTGGTAAGCAGTCTGTCTGTCTGGGCTACTTCATCCCGCTCCTCAGCACCTGATTGGCAGCAATCAGCATGACGCTGATGATGAAAGCGATGGCGAAGGCGCAGATGAGGCTCTTCCGGACGCACGTCTGTCGGATTTGCTGGTTCGAGCAGGCTGTGGGGGGGAGGGGGAGTAGAGAGAGGAAGGGGAGATGCAGGTTAGTTTGGTGTCCTCTGTCACTCCCCTAGTCCCAGGCTCATCTGAAAGATTCACCCACACCCTTCACACACAGTGACTTCAGGTAGCCTTCTGCTTCCTTCCATTTGCTCTCCCTGCTTGCAGCCCTTCTGGCTAGGAAGTTTCTGTCCTGGCATCACCTTCCTGGGATACCGCAGGTGCGGGAGTCACTGTGCAGGCTCCCTCCTCGATGCCCTGGCATGGTGCTTTGCCACTTAGCATGCAGAGCGGCAGCGGCCCTCAAAGCACCCAAGTGGCCTCCTGCTGCATTAAAATTCCGAGCAGCCCAGAGCCAGAGTCACTTTCTTAATTAAAATTTTAAAAAAAGGAGTAATAGGGCTCAGTCTCTCTAGATGGCGCAGTCCCTGGTTCCTCAGGGAGAGGCATTGGGCAGCGTGTCAGCGCCTTTCCTCACCCAGAAGGCCTGTGATGTTGGGTACTCGCAAAAGTCACCATGTACTAGATGCACAAAGATCCCAGTGGTCTCTGCAGTGGATGAGGGTAGAGACTGTACTGCTTTTACTGAATCATAGCCTTTGTGGGGCAACAACATCCACAGGCCATGTGGGTGTGGAACCCGGTGATCTCCACCAGCCACATGTGCATGGAATGTGGTGATCGCCAGTGTGTGGGGATGCTGTATGGTAATATTTGTGACCTCTGTGGTTTACATGTGACTAGACAGGGTGACGTGTCTGAAACATGAAGTATATATGGGTAGATGTGTGTAGAATACGGGGAGCTCAGAAGCTTCTATGTGTACATGCCCAGAATGTGATGACTTGACAGTCTCTTGGGTGTACTGGGGAATAGGGCGTGGACAGGGGAGCCACATATTAATCAGCCATATTTGTTGGCCTCACATTGAGAGCAGTAGCCAATCAGTGCAGAGGAATTTACTGCAGCTAATCAGAGCAGATATATTTGCATAATTGTAATCTATCTACTCAAGAAAGTACAAAGCCCTACACTGTGATTGCCTAACAATACTGTGATTGTCAGCCAATCAGAACACTGGGATTTGCATACTGTACCGTGACTGATAAATAACTCTATAGTCATACAACTCAGAACTCCTCAGCCAATCAGAGTGCAGGGAATCCCCTAATGAGAGAGGAGTGTACAGTTAGAAATCAGTAAGTGCACTTTGATTCCCTTAGGCAATTACATTGCTGCATGATAAGACCTTACGTTACCCATTATCAAAATGCAGCCATCTCTGGGGCGGAACAGGCCAGCTGTCCTTCTAGACATTAGCTTCTGCCATGGCCCCTCTTATTTGTCTCCTCTCTAAACTAAACAGCCCAAGATCCTTTCAATCTCTCCTTATATGGGATTTTCTCCAGGGCTGCAATCATTTTTGTCATTCCCTGTGCTGACAGGCTGTATACCTTGTCCTGGCTCTGAAAGGGGGATGTGAGCCTGGGAGACCAATTACCTTGCCTGGCTGCACCTGGAGGGTGGACCAGGCCTTATTAAGGGAGAAGCCTAGCTGGGGAAGAGCTGGGTGATGACTATAAAGACAGGAAGCCTGCAGCAGCAGGGGGGCCTGCAGGGAGTGAGGGAAAGGAATTTAGCAGTCTAGGACCAGAGATTGGTGAGACTGTGGGGAACAGGATGGCTCCTGCAGGCTGATGAGGAAGCCTGGTGGGGAACCTGGAAGACACAGGTCTGGACCCAAAAGCAGGCACTGGACCTCTGGGGAGAAGCCCTAGATGGTGTGCAGTGTTACAAAGAGCCCAGAGAGGTGCTGGAGCAGAGGCTTATGACAGCAGGGAGGCAGTGGAAGGTGTTTGAAGGGGGTATTGTGGGGCCCCTTGATGTTGCTATTTAAAAGCCAAACGGCCTTCCAGGAGTCTGGGGCTAGACAGACCCCTGGAAAATCTTGTATTTTAAGTGTGTTAAAGAAGTAAAATTTGGTTCTGTCAGTATTTTGCTGTGATTTCTATAAAGGATGAAAACAGCTCTGCTGCTGTTGCTCTGCTTAGCATGGATTAACCTGGGACCTCTCTCTGCCTTCCTGGAAACAATTTGGGATCCCTTGAAGAGCGGTTGTGGGTGGGGGGGCAAACATCCCCTCTGCCTTGGCGGTGCTGGTCCTGGTCCAGAGGGCGGATGTGAAAAGGCCACTCAACTCAGACTGCACAAAACCTGCCTGTAGCTCAGAGCGCTGGGCAAAGCCAAGGACCCCCACCCACGCATGGCTTGACCGTCTCATGCTCCCGGGTTGCCCTCTGACCTGAGAGGGGGGGAGTCGGGGCCGGGGGGGCGGGGGGGCTTGGAGAGGGACAGCCCAGAGTCCCATGGAGGATGGGAAGTCCCGTATTAGCTCATGATGCATCACAACAAGCCCACTGGCCTGCTCCCTGCTTCTCCAGACAACTCTGTAGGGGCAAGGTAGCTGATGAGGGCAGGTGACAGGGGAACAGGGACTGCAAGTATGGCTTGCTCCTTACCATGGTCTGGCTGCAGGGCTGGCCCCCAACATTTTGGCACCTGAGGCGGGGAGCTCAAATGACGCCCCCATGCCCCCTCGCTTAGGCCAAAACTTTGAAAGGTCTCAATTCTGCCTTCTTCCTGATCTACTTCTCCCATGGTACTGCTCTGCTGCCAACCCCAATAAAGGAGAACTAACAACTTAAAATGCCTTGTTCAAAAATTTTAAGTAACACTTAACTTTCAAACGCTTGAACAGCAAATGTAACTTTTCTTATCTGCATAGTAAACACTGGCATTTTTATCTGTTTGAATAATCAAAGTGGTGCTTTCCGTGCCTTCTTGGTTGCAAAGATTTGAACTGTTTCCTGCTGAAGGTCCACAGTCTGGGCCAGCTCGTGCTCTACTGAGATGGTTGCAAGGCCGACCAGCCTCTCCTGTGTCATTGTGGAGTGTAGATGTGTTTTTATTAACTTCAGCTTGGAGAAGCTGCGTTCTCCATTGGCAACTGTTACAGGAAGGGTTAGAAGTATGTGCAGAGCAACAAAAGCATTTGGAAAGAGGGTGGTCATCTTATTTGTGCACGTATATTCCAGAACAGGCTTTGGAGTTGATCCTGCTGGAATGTATCTTGAAAGGGCTTTCAGTTCATCACCTAAATCACTCGCATCAATATCGCGCAGGTCATCATGTGTCAACACTGTCTCTAGTGCCCTGCATTGCTGGTGTAGGTCTTCTTCAGGTATAGTGAGGAGTTTTGGAATATCATATACAACATCCCAAATATACTGCTGTGTTCCTTGAGCTGCATGAAACGTTCTTCAACTGAGTGTATCACACAATCTAGCACCTGGTTAAAGAATTCAACTTTGAATTGTTGTTTGGGGTCCCTTATGGGATTATCCCGTGCCTCGTAATCAAAATGTCTTCTTCTTTGGTGACTCTTGTATTCTTGAATGGGTGGGAAAATAGCTTCAGTGTGAAGTTCCTCTGCCAACTTCTGTGCACTCTTCAGAATGTTTTGAAATCCCTCATCTGACCGGTAAAACTGTAGGTATGACTTTGCTTTGTCCAGTTGTTCCATTGCTCCAGATATATCAAGGTCAATACCTTGGAGTCTCTTACTTACAACATTTATTTCAAACAGTATGTCATGCCACAACATTAAGCCACACAGAAATTTGAAGTTATGTATGTTTCTGGTGATTCCATTTCCCTCTGCCAGTGTTCTCCCATGAACAGTTCCTGTCATAGCATTATCCTCCATACTGGCAACTATGGCATCATCTATCTTCCCAATTTGGTGTTTGATAGGTTTTATCGCCTCTACTCAACTTTCCCATCGTGTGGCACTCAGTGGTTTCAGTGTCAGAGAGGATGTTCCCAGATGTTGCTTCAAAATTTGCCATCGATGAATTGATGCAGAGAAAAATACATAGATGCTTTGAATTACATTAAAAAATTCAGCAGCCTCGGTAGAAACTGATGCTGCATCACTGACCACCAAGTTCAATGAATGAGAACTGCATGGGACAAAAAAAACTCGAGGGTTTAACCACTCACATCCTCACTGGGGCCGGAAGGCTCACCGTGAACATTTGTGTCTATATATCTCAGGAGAGCTCCTTCCTGCTTAGATAGAAAAGCTTCCTTTGCTTTCTTTCTTTTTCAGAGGGGCGTTTTCTTCTTTCACTCATGACTGCGGTTCTGTGCCAGCTATAGTGGCTCTCAACACTCAATTGAAGGGGACAAATAAGCAGGCTGGTAGCAGGGCCTGAGTGGGGAAGATATCAGCGTCTTAAGGGCCTAACTGGCTCCTACTACTTCAGTTGACTGCCTGTTCTCCTCAAGTGGGTTCAGGGAAGCAGCAGGAAACAGGAAGGTCCCTGAGAAGCTGGTGTGAATCAGTCCACGCTCCTGGGAGTGCTAGAGAGGTACGTAAGAGGCTCCTCCTCCTCTCTTTCCCTGCAGCTCCTGCTGCTTTCTGTTATTCTCTCTCACCTTTTCGCCTGCCTGCCTATGTCTCTTGTGCCTCCTTTCTCCAGCACAGCACTCCACCATCTCTGTGCATCTGGAGCAGAGAGAATACATATGCACCCACAGCAGACACAATTTTCTACACTCTGGGTCCTAGTGGCGCCCTCCCACAGTCTGGCACCTGAGGTGGCTGCCTCAGTTCGCCTCATGGTAAGGCCAGCCCTGTCTGGCTGCTCCAAGCAGCACCAGAGATGGACAGCAAGCCCCTGGATGCTGATTGTAAGCTCCTTGGGGCAGTGTCGAGTTCTGTGTCTGTATGGAGCCTAGGACCGTGAGCTTGGGCCACGCTCCTAGGCGCTATGGTACCAATAGTGAGCGGCAGTGCCTGGGGCTGCCAGGGCTGGGGAAGGGTCACTTACGCTCCACATCGACGGGGCACTCCTCGGCATTGCCCATGTGGCTTTCCTCCTCCGTCATGATGATGTTCTCAATGTCCTTCATGGACAGGTGTTCGCAGAAGGTGTCGTAGAGCAACCGCTTCAGCTCATCCACCGTCAGCTTCTGCATGTCGCACTGCGGCAAGGGGAAGCAGCACACAGACCCCTCAGGGGGGGATTGCAAGAACCGCCCCATGTTCATGTGATCTCCCCTGGGCATCATGTGACTTCCAGCTGTGTGTCATGGGGAGCAGCGCCTGGCACGGCTGTCACTGATCAGTCACCACCACACACCTCCGGTCACGCAGGCCGCAGCACAGCAGCTACTGATCTCACACGGGGCACAGGACTGGCATGTTGCCAGCTGCCCCCAGAGAGCACAGGCCTGGCACCGTGGTCCCCGAAACCTAGCCGTCATGCAGCACGTGTGGTATCATGGCTGTCATGTGACCTCACCATTGAGGGCAGGGACACATTGACCCCCGTGCTGGCAGTAGGGAGGAAGGGGAGCCAGGGGAGGCCCACAGTGTGGTTGACAAGCATGATGGCAATGTCACAGATAGGCAGCTGCCCTGCCAGAGTGATGGCTGGAGCAAAGACTAGACTGTTGTGCCCTAGTCACACTGACACCAGGAGCTCTTTGCTCCTATAGGGCTGGAGTCACGAGTCAGGGGCCCTGAGTCCAGTTTTCCCATCAGGATCCTGACTGTCTCCTTTTTAAGAGTTGAAGCACAAAAAGGAAAACCCCCCAACCAGGAAAATGAAACTAAGCCCTACCCTGGGTTCTGCAGTGTGAGCGTGCAGCAGGTGTGATGTGTCCAAGGAGGGCTGATGAGCCACCCAGAGGAGAGGCTCCTGGAGATGCTAAAGATGGGTGAATTGGGCTCCTGGGGAGCAGTGCAAATCAGAAAGAGGCCAGGCTGTACCCTGCTGTAACCCCACTGAGACTAACAGGGCTGGGCCAAAGGCAGGGTTGATCCAGAGGCAGCAAGTGACAGCTGCTCATGTCAAAACAAAGCTAAGTAACATTAAAGAAGATGCTCCCCTAAGGTGTTTCTCTCGTGAGCAAGGGAGGAGTGGGCATGAGGCAAGCCTGTGGCTTGCTCCTTCACTTTTCTGGTGTACAGAAAGTAGATCTGGCTTTCCAGAAAGGAGGCATGGTCAAGGCCAACTCCCTCCCACCCCCAAATCCCTTCCAAGAACAGCAAGTGGGGTTTTCAGTAGACACAGGTGCTGGATGGGGTGGGAAATAGGGTCACTGCTGGAGGGGTGGGACGGTGTATGGTAAGGGTGGGCTCATTGATGGGGGGGCGTGTGGTGGAGGGAGGAGGTCAGTGCTCTTGGGGGGGGGCTCTCTGGCTGGGCTTGTGGCAATTGTCATTGCAACGTCTGTGAAACACAACCTGTGCTGCCTAGTGTCACCACTAGGGACTCCCTAAGACCAGGCGTGGACAGGGCAGTCATGGCAGAGTCTGCTGAGCACGCTGCAGTGACACAGGGTGCATCCGGGGTGTGGACGATGCGCTGACAATGGCCACTAGTGGATGGTGTATGCACTGGAGTGCTGGCTGTTGAGTGTCCAAGGCAGTTACACACCTTGCTGGGGTACAAGGCTGCGGTGTGTCCGTGCTGCACCACAGGCAGGGTAGGAGCAGTGGGGTCAGCACAGGTTCCCTGGGGAGTCACATGAGCATTCCTTGGGCATGTCAGTTGTTACCTCTCCTGCCTCCGCCTGCGTTCCCTTTAACCGCTCCTCTCCCCCTCAGGCTGGCTGCTTATCTGATCGCACTGACCCCATCAGCTGCCCCTTGGTGCTATTTGGAATAGAGAGGGTCCACGTTGGAGCCTGCTGTGGCTGGTGCAGGCAGTGGCTGTTTGCTGGGGCCCCCGTAAATGAGGAACTCACACGGGTGCTGTCCTACCAGAGCCTCTTCTCTGTATGGAGCATCTGCCCGGCCCCCACCCTGACCCCCCAACACTGGCTGCTCCTTCCATGGCAGATTCCCAGGGGCCTGGGGGGAGAACAGGGAGCAGTCTGTACCTCTTGGCCTGGAGTAACTTTGGGATCTGCTCTCCCTCTATGTCCATGATTCCCCCACCCCAGGTTTGGGGATCTCAAGAGGAGGTGTCAGGGCGAAGAGAGGGTGTGGAGAGGGCCACGGATGAGGCACCAGTTACCTTCCAGAAGACGGTGTCGAAGTCTGTGCCATGGAACTTCTTGGGGATCCCTGAGGTGGAGAGCTTGGGCCCCAGCAACGTCACAAACTCCTCAAAATCCACCTGCCCATCCCCTGGGAAAGAAAGAGGCACAAGTTACCTCCCCCGGGTGCTCTGTCTTCTCTCCCCCTTTGGTGCCCTGTGTATACGGTTTCCAGCCAAACCCAAACTGGAACATTGTTTTCAAATAAAAGTCGAATTTCCTTCTGAGAACATCGACAAAATGATTTCCCCATGTTGTCAAACTGGGGGGGGGGGAAGGGCTCCCTTGTTTTCTGACCCATGCTAATGGTTTGCCCTGGGGGGTGGCAATCACGGACCCCCTGGGGCTGCTGATCCAGGGGCTCCATGTCTGGCATGGGTATGTGGCCAGTGTGATTTGCTGGGCGTGGGGAATCCTGCCCATTCCCCAGGCCTTGCTAGAGAGATCCACCCCTCCGCCCCCTCAGTGCTGCCTCTTCCCATCAACCACCAGCAGGGGGCACCAGCACTAGAGGGCCTGTGGAAAGACGGGAACGGGCCAAATCCCTCCCTAGCCTCTCCTCTCCTCCCACAAGTCCTATGGGACCCAATAGTCAGGGCCGGTGCAAGGAAGTTTCGCGCCCTAGGAGAAACTTCCACCTTGCCCCCCCCCTGCCCCCCAGCTAACCCTGCCCCCCCCGCGGCAGCTAACCCAGCCCCCCACCCGGGGAGCCCGCCACCTCCCCGGTCCAGGGAGCCCCCCCCTGCAGCAGCTACCCCCCCATCCGCGGCAGCTAACCCCGCCCGGGGAGACCCCCCCGCCCCCAGAAGCTAACTCCGCCCGAGGAGCCCGTCTCCACAGCAGCTAACCCCACCTGAGGAGACCCCCCCCTGTGACAGCGTACCCCATAAGGCTTTTATGGGGGGGACGTTTTATAAAATGTATGTATGATA